GAATTTTTCGCCTTTAGGTGACAGTAAAACCTTGTGGTTGTCTTTTTTTAACGTGTCCATATTTGCATTTTTGTCATTCAAGGTTTTTTCTTATGTTTCCTGCCTTGAAAAATTCTGCGGTTGCTTGTATACATTCTCTAATTTCTCCCCATTATATGGCTTTGATCAGATAAGCACTGAAAAAAGTTATTCAACTGAGAGATAGTATAAAATGAGGAACAAGAGGCAAAGCTAAGTAAACTGGCATATCCCAGCACAGTCCTCTCAGTCTGCACAGTTCTTAGAAAGGTATATTTATTCTGGAGTGTCTGCTTTAGCCACATTAAGATTTATCCTTTTATTTGTAATAAAACTGTTAAACATATACAACATACACTACATAACTCCTTTTCATTGTCATAATTCAGGTACTTATGGCATGTAGAAAAACAGAAAGACACTTTATATACAAGATTACTAATCTGTGTATTTTCTCTGTGTGTGTTGCAGTTTGCCCATCGCTGAGTGTCACAGAGGGTGAACTGTATGTGGAGACAATCCAAGATTCTTCTAACTTTTTTGCCAGCCACATCCTGTTCAAACACGCCTCTCCTCTCATATACCCTCCTCTGTCTGTCCTAACTGCCCCCCTGTTATTCTCCCTTGCTCAACAGATGCTTGCACATTTCAGTCCTCTCCCACAAACTCACAACTCCCCTCATTCTGGCCCTGTTCTCTTCTTTTAGCACTACTCTTGTGTTCTTTTTTTCCTCTACCTGTTCAAGAGGGCTGCACCCTGGTTTTTGTCCTACACAGTCTCTGCACCACTCCTTTGCTCTCCTAACCCTTCTGTTCCCCTAATGGGCACCATATCAGACAGCGGTGCCACATTCCCTGCATTGTCACTGAAGACCTCTCTCCATCCCTAATCGCCTCGCCAACACCAACTTAACACAACCCAATGGAGACAAAAGATATGATGATGACGAGCATGTTAAAAATGGACAAAGGAGAGAACGAGGGACAGAGGGATAAAGGGAGAGAGGAAGTGGGGGGAGCTGAGGAGGGGACACAGCAGGAAAATGGTAGACTGATGCTGGCTGATGGTCTCGCAGCTAGAGGACCCAAGAGTCTGACCTCTGGCTCTGGACAGCAGGTGTCCAATGGGTTCACCACATCTACCCCTCAGGGCCCCAGGGAGGGACCAGGGAGCGCAGCTTGCTCTGGGGGCACAGCCTCTATGTCTGCAGGTGGTACAGGATCCTCAGTGCCGCTGGGAAGCCTCCGGACTCTGGTGGTCCAACAAACCAGCTTAGAGAGGCCCAGAGAAAGCTGGAGCAAGAAGATGGACTTCTTGCTGTCTGTGATTGGCTACGCTGTGGACCTGGGAAACGTCTGGCGTTTCCCCTACATCTGCTACCAAAATGGAGGAGGTGAGAAAAAAAGATTTTTGATTGAGAGAAAAGGGGGAGAGGTAAGGATGGAGGTTTGTGAGATCCCATCCTACAGTATAAATGGTTTCAAAGGTTAGAAAGAAGAAAAGACTCTGTCATGGTTTGGATCGCCATGCTGTGTAATGCACAATATATGCAACAACCAAGGTAAGTTAGTTTACTGTCTGTGACTAGCACCTGATTTAGCTCAGTTCTTGTACAGTCTAAGATACAAAAAGGTAAAAGGTTTTCACAAAGTCTGTGTGGTCTACTTGTGCTCCTTTACTACACAATCCTCAAGGACCTCCCTCGCTACTTTTATTGAATTTGCAATAATAAAATTTTTGCAATTTCCTGTGTTCTGTGTGTGTCCCACAGAGCGCGGTGGAGATGGAGACTGGGACACACTTGATAGAGGCAACAGTATTAATTGTGGCTTTTTATGAGAACACCTTTAGTCTCTTTCTCCTTGCTTAATAACCTGTTTCCCAGGCAGCTGCTCGATCAACCCTTATCTTTGCCTTTATGTCACAAAGAGACACAAGCACGCATGTACACACCGACACGCCCGCAGTGCACAAATGCACGCATGCACATAGAATAAGTTGATACTCAGGTATAAAGAAAGAGAGAGATGTGTTATCAGACTGGAGACACCAAAGAACTGGCTGCCATCCTCCTGCTGTTTGGGCTTCTGATTCCCCTTTTATACTTTCCTTACTTAGCCGGCACCTGTAGTAGTGTGTCTATGTAGAATCTAAAATAAATAACCCTCTTACTGTGTGTTTCCAGAGGGCACACATTAAATGCAGAGTGATATGAAAGAGGGGAAGCATATACTGCTGTCTTTAAATGGGTTTTGGTTATGTAAATGATATGATTCCTAAAGTATATAATGGTTTTTACAGGGTGCTTTTAATGTTCTTAGTTCTTGTTGACTGGGAGAGGACCACTGAGGAGGTTACAGATGGAGTGTGAATGAGGAACACTCCCCATGAATTTGATTGATTTCTTACTATTCTTCCATAAGTCTTTCTTTCTTCCATTTATTCCCCACTTTACATTTTCCCAATGCTTTCATCTACCTCACATACCTCCCCATACTTTTCCCCCACTCAGTCTTCCTCTCATCTACCCTCACTTCCCTCTGTTTCTGTCCAGGTGCCTTTTTGCTGCCCTACCTGTTGATGGCGGTGTTTGGAGGAGTGCCTCTCTTCTACATGGAGCTGGCTCTTGGGCAGTTCCACCGCAGCGGCTGCATCTCCATCTGGAAACACATCTGCCCTATCTTCAAAGGTATCACAGTGAATTTAGAGAGCAAATTGGGAAATCTGGTTATATCAGTAGCTTGGATTTTTTTTTAGAAAGGGGGGGGGTGGGGACATGAGAGGACAGTCCTTACTAACAAAGATTTGCAGTAAGAGAATAAATAAAGGAGAGTGACAAGTTGTCAGAGTTTGAGAGACAGCTCATTTAACCTCCTTGTGCCCCTCAGTACAGAGCATCCTTAGCTTCTTGAACATCTAGTGAGATGTACTGACTGTGTTATGGAAATTGTCACATTTCCATGCCAAATGCCAGATGCTCAGAAATGTGATAGCATGTAAATTGTTGTTGTTTGGAAATGTCACCCACTTTCCTTCTCTTGCATTAGCTTGGAAATACCACTGATGTTTGCAAGATCTGGGGAGTGACTGACTGGTGTCATACGCTACAAACAGTTGTTTAATAAAATGTTAATGCAAAGTTTAAGTTAAAGATAGTTCAAGAGTCAATATTTCCCATCTAGGGATTGGCTTTGCCATCTGCATCATAGCCCTCTACATTTCCTTCTACTACAACACCATCATGGCATGGGCCTTGTACTACCTACTGTCATCATTTCGAACCACACTGCCCTGGACCACCTGTACCAACAGCTGGAACACAGCCAGCTGTAACCGCTACATGTCCACCGACCACAACGTGTCATGGTCCAACTTCTCCACTTCCCCAGCCGAGGAGTTCTATACGTAAGTGCATGTAAGTTGGACATAGAGGCGTAGAGGGAGTGCTACACAGGAGGGAGACATCAAGTGAAGTGGGGGGGATTTCCAAGAGAGCAATTACAGGGCTGGGTCTGGTGTTTTAAAGCCTTGACAGATTGAGCACCAGCCCCAGAAAATCCACTTGCATCACTAATTGTGAAGATATAGCAGAAAGAAGTTATCATTTCAGAACAGGAATCACTGACCTGATCTGAGATGGTTTTGAAAGACAATCAGGGCTGAGGAATTGCAACAGTAATAGCTGATATCAAAGGTAGATTGATGTAGAATTTTAGATGATATATTGCATTACTAAGATATAGTAGATTTATTTGAATCTGCTGGGATTAGCCAAGACAGTCAATCCAGACGGTTTTTTAAATTAATTTCCATGTAAAAAATAATAATAATAATGAAATTTACTTACTTACCTGTTAACTTTGGTGTAACACAAACACATTTGACAACGGAAATTTTAATGCAACTGTGCTTAATTAGATCTCACTTAACTTTAAATTAGCTTGCCAAAATATGAACCACCCATTTAGTTAAAGGAGCTTTTGGAGGGCAAGACAGGAGGGAGATGTATGGGTGCAACACTGTGAAAGGACAGTGACTATAGTTTATTTGATGACAGGAAGAGGGATGAGACAGTAGTGATAAGGAAACTGATGCAGTAATGAAACCTTTCATTCCTAATCATGTCCATATGTGTTGGTGAGCCCACCAATAAATATCCTCTTTAATTCAGGCAAATCATTGCTGACATGAGACTTATTACCGCATGTTGTTGTAAAAGTTTTCTAAAGTATTATAAAGCTTTAAGCTGCAGTATCTGCTTACAGTGATTAACTCTGGTAGTAGGGAGAAAGGGGGAGAGTCAGTTCAGACACATACAGTACTTTTTCTTTGTAAACCTGAACTCCGTGAGAACACTGTTTTTCTTATTCCTGATACGGCCTTATCAGCTGCTCACCGGACCTCGCCTGTGTCCACTGAGACAAATTCTGGGTTTATTTGTAGTTGACTTTTCCTAATACAGGTTTAAAAGTGAGAAATTCCACAACACAGTCTGGCGCCAGAATTTCCTGTTTTCAACATAAATCCTGTCTCTGTTTCATCATCCAACTGTGCTTAAACTTTGACCAGATGTTAACCTCATTATTCATTTCAAAGGTCTGTTTGTGCCCCATATAGAATTTTTTTTTATTTAGGATTCTGTAAAGTTTATTGACGTAAACTTCATAGAAAGTCTGTCAAGGCCTTTTTGTATCTATTATATTTAGTCTCTTTATGTTTTTCATAGGTGCACTTTTGTTACAGGTCATTTAATGTGTGAGTATGATGGACTGTGTATGTTTGCATATTAGTCAGGGGATTAGGATCATTTTTATATTGAGAATAAATAAATACAGTATTCTTTCCTTTGTTTTCCTTTCTCACGTCCTCGCATCCTCCTTGTATGCCTTTGTTTTTCCGTTTCTTTGTACCATCTTTCTTTTTCTTTCCGTATCTCTTTCTTTATCACATCTCTATGGGCTTCCTCTGCTTTCCAAATTTTCACATCTGCTTTCCAAACTATCTTTGTATTTTCACTCCTTATTATCCTCCACATTATTCTCCTTCCTTTACCCTTACTTTTCCTCTCTTCTTCCTTCCCTACTGTCTTCCACCTTTCATATTTTTCCCTTTCACTCCCCCATTTCCTGTCTTTTCCTCTCATGTCATCTACTTATATTTGCATCCATGTGATTTCACCTGTTGCCACTCTGTTCCTCGTCTGTTGCATCCCTTTTGACCTCGCATCTCAAACCAAACATCCCTCCTTCCTCGTCTCCTCCCTCCAGTCGCCACGTGTTGCAGGTCCACCTCTCCCCAGGTCTCCACCAGCTGGGCTCTGTCAGCTGGCAGCTGGCCCTGTGCCTGCTCTTCATCTTCACCACTGTCTACTTCAGCATTTGGAAAGGAGTCAAGACATCTGGAAAGGTAACTGACAAGGGCGCCTGCATGGCTGATGGGGGTGTCAGTTAGAGCAGATGGATGGATGGATGGATTGATGGAGACAGAGAGGCAGAGAAAACAGCGGTTGTTCTCCTGTCATGTCTTATTATCATTCATCATAATGAGTTGAAAACCTGGTTAGAAGGGCAGTAAAGTTAAACAGTTTGTGGTCACAACCTCAGCAATCAAACCTGAAAAGACCAGGCAGACCTCAAGTAACAACAATATTGGAAACTAGCCAAGACAAAGTGAAAGAACTGTTTAAATGAACTCCCCTCACCCCCAACAGTTACTGTCCACATATCTTAAACATGTTGAAAATAGTCAGATAAGGGATATCACAGAAAGAAGAAAAAGAGTCAATACTGATGCTTTTATATTATAAAGTGTAGTTCATTAGCTGGTGTTGATGGCACATCATCCTGAAAGGGTTTCTTACAGGGCTGTTTTATCCATGGTTGTCTTTATAACCACAGCTGTGTACACATGGAAAACAGATTCATTTGTCATACACATAGTGTAACATACAGTTAGCAAATCAGCATTTGCATTATCAAACAGCTCTTTCCCAGAAAAATCACAAGACATTGTGCTTTGTTTTGTTTTCAGTATTATTGAGCACAAGCAAGATATCAACTAACAACTAAGTTTAACCAGGCATGAGCAAGAGGTCATTAACAGAATAACAAAACAATCTGTTTGGTTTTTCCCTTTTCTGCATTAGGTAGTTTGGGTGACTGCTACCTTTCCTTATCTGGTCCTCCTCGTGTTGCTCGTTCGTGGGGCCACTTTGCCGGGGGCCTGGAGGGGCATCCTCTTCTATCTTAAACCCGACTGGGGGAAACTGCTAAGCACTACAGTACGTTATTTAGTGGATTATAGTGAGGTGTTCTTTGATGCCTCTGTTTAAAACATCACTGTCTTTGTACAAACGTCTTGTATGAAACTTTCTCTGACCCTGCTTTGTTTCTCTTTTCTTGCCTGCTGTTTAAATCCACATTCCTTTCTATCTTCCCAACATTCACCCATCACCACCTCTCCACACTCTCTAAGGTGTGGATTGATGCGGCAGCTCAGATCTTCTTCTCTCTGGGACCGGGCTTCGGTGTGCTCCTCGCCTTTGCAAGCTACAACCCATTTCACAACAACTGCTACAAGTGAGGAATTATTTGACATTACACATCGTTCTACAGTTCATACGTCAGTGACACCTGCCTGCTTATGGAGCTAAATGCTGCTTAAGGCTCCCCACCGCCATGCTGGAGACTTCTGTACGGCAGAAAAATGAAATCAAAGCCTTTTATCTAATATATTTGCGGAAACATGCATAGCTGTGACCATACCCTAGTCTAACAAGTCTTATAACTTTGCAGAGGCTCATAGATTTATATTTTCACAGACCATCTTGCTAACTTTGTTGTCTGTCCTGTCACAGAAACTTTTATTTTCTCCCTGTCTGTATCAGAGATGCACTAGTCACCAGCTCTGTGAACTGCCTGACCAGCTTTCTGTCCGGCTTTGTAATCTTTACCGTGCTGGGATACATGGCTGAGATGAGGCATGAGAGTGTGGATGCTGTGGCCAAGGATGCTGGTAGGACACTGCACCACAACACCTCCATCCTCACATCGTTGGGGTAAAACAAGCATTCCACACTGAACTGAACTGAATGTTACTTTGGAAGGACTCAACATTTTGCATGCCTAATATTTTGGCTCCTCAGTCTTTTCAGTTCTGGATTTTAGTAATGTTTAGAGTTTAAACTAATTTGTTTCATAAAAAAAAAAAGTTATAGCAATGAGTTCAACATTTTTGTCATTTCTGTCTCAATCATTTTTTTTAAAACTGCCTCTCTGATTTCCCTCTATAGGTCCCAGTCTGTTGTTCATCATTTATGCAGAAGCCATAGCAAACATGCCTGCCGCCACCTTCTTTGCCATCATCTTCTTCCTCATGATCATCATGTTGGGTCTGGATAGCACAGTTAGTACAAAAGTTAGGACACCCAAATCAGTGTCCTGTTTGCTAATTATTCCCTGTATCCCCTGGTGTTCCCCTCTTTATTTTGTAATGCACCTATCCTGTTGTTGCCCGGTGTTCATCTCTCGTGTGTGTGTTCTCAAACCTAAAAACCTAGGTTTCAGATTTGTTTTGTCATACTGCCTTGTTCTGTTTGACTTCTATTTGCCTGTGGTACTTGTTTCTCCATTAAGGTGTCGGGTATTATTTGTCCTTCTCAGTGTTCCATTTTGGAACAGTCAACGAAAACAATGTGATAGGACTTTCATATCACTGATGTGTGGTGATCTTGTTTCCATAAGCCTGTGTTTATCTGCTCTGAGGCAGCCAGCTGGAAAGACCCGTAAGGCTTTTATCACATACTGATAATCGGCACAGAATCAGTTGCTGTGCTCCTCAGTTTTATGACTGAGGATATTACCGCAAAACCTTTCAGTGTACTTGGATACATGTTGGATCGCCTTAACATGTTCCTAATGTTTTTTTGTTATTCTGCAAAGCTTGCGCAGCATAAACACCTTCTGATACTGAAAGAGAGTCCTACTAATGTTGGACTGATTAGATCAAACTGCTGATGAGGAACATCTTGATAGCGCATAACATGTAGAAGTGATTTAATGCATGCAGTATGCCATCTAGACATGTGGTCTTTGCCATGGCCCCTCAGTTACCATGTTCTCATCTTCTATCTCTCATCTTTCTGCACTCCCTGATGAGTTTTCTCCTTCTCGCCATCCTTCTCTTTCCAGTTTGCAGGATTGGAGGGTGTGATCACAGCTATGCTGGATGAGTTTCCTCATGTCCTAGTTAAAAGACGAGAGTGGTTTGTCCTCGGCCTCGTGTGTGTCTGCTACCTCGGAGCTCTCTCCACACTCACATATGTAGGTTTACTACAGGTTACTATCAGAAAGGCATCTGTTATAATACAGTTTAATCAATTATTTTTCTCACTTGACTGTAAATCGCTGTGCTTTGATACCTGATTACTGATAAGTGACAGTGCTTCAATGTTCCACAAAATGCCCATGGCTGCTCACAATTTCCATTCAAATATATCCATCCATTATCTATACTGCTTATCCTGAAGAGGGTTGCGGGTGGGCTGGTGCCAAAACCAAATGGCATTGGGTGAGAGGTGGGGTCCACCCTGGACATGTCGCCAGTCTATCACAGGGCTGACATGTAGACATACAACCACACACACCCACTCTCACTCTCATGGGCAATTTAGAGTCACCAGTCAACCTAAGCAGCATGGACTGTGGGAGGAAGCCAGAGTACCTGGAGAGAACCCATGCACGCACAGGGAGAACATGCAGAAAGGCATCGGGTCAGCCGGGGCTCAAACCCGGAACCTTATAGCTGTGAGGCAACAGTTCTAACCACTGCATCACCTTGCCACCCATTGAAATATATTATAAACCAATATAAAAGGTCATAGTGTTGTCAAAATATTTTTAATTTTGCATATTTCAGTCAGATCTTTTTTAATTCTGTCAAGTTAATTTTAATCTTTAGTTGTTGGTAATGTAACCTACCACAGTTAACAGTTATCTGAAATCAGATTACAGCTGCCTCAGTAATCTGTTTATGTCCAACCCTCATTATAGTAAAGTTGTAATACAAATACTCATCCCTGCTCCACTGAACACAACAAATTAGCCCAATTGCTGTCTTAGACTTTGTAGATGAAACTTGTTGCATAAAAATAATTAGTATACAGTTTTTCAGAAATTCCTCCTCTCACCCTTGTCCTGTCTCAGGGAGGAGCATTTGTGGTGAAGCTGTTTGAGGAGTACGCTACAGGCCCCGCAGTCATCACTGTGGTCCTGCTCGAAGTCGTTGCTGTTTCCTGGTTCTACGGTAAGTTCTGGGACTGATGCTGAATGAAGATGCTAATTTGTGACCATATAACAGTTATAGTGGTCTTTGTGGGAAAGGATGACATAATACTAAATAAACTAATGGTGAAGAAAGCCTGACAAGTGAGCTGCATTTTTGAGTATAGATTACTCACTTTTTGTCTATTCCTCTCTGTCTAGTTTGATTCACAGACATAGACATTGATATTTGAAACTTTGTTGTGTCTGTGTGTGTGTTCCAGGTACCAACCGTTTCTGTAATGATGTCCAAGTCATGCTTGGTTTCTATCCGGGGTGTTTCTGGAGGGTCTGCTGGGTGGCCATCTGCCCCTGCTTTTTGCTGGTGAGGCTTTCAGGGCAGTTTGTCATATTTATCCTGATGTCTGGTTCCTGTGATATCTAACCGTTTGTTTGCTTGTCTAGTTCATCATCATTAGTTTCCTGGCCTTTCCTCCAGAGGTCAGGTTGTTTGACTATCACTACCCACCATGGACCACCGTCCTGGGCTACTGCATAGGGGTGTCCTCGTTCATCTGTGTGCCCGCTTACATGGTCTACCACTTGCTCAATGCTAAGGGCACATTCAAACAGGTGCAGCATTTGCTTTCCTTTCCTTTCTTTCATATTAAATATAGTGTAATTAATCCTATTATTCTACCCCATTCCTTCTTGACTTTTACTCTCCCTTTGACACATCTCCAAGGACAGAGATTGCCTATGTTGTTTTCGTCATGATGCTCTGTCAGGGTCTACCCTCTTCTGTGAACACATGACTGCAGATCAGGATCAAAGGAGCAGGAAGGAGGCACAGGCCAGGCCCCATAGATCTTACACACAGGCCATTACCTGATGCCACACACTCTTAACACTCAGCACTCCCTCATTAAGACACACATCCACATTATGCAATGCATGTGTAGGCTGTCACGTCGCCACATTTGAGGATCAAGGCTATAGGAAGCCATGCTCCTGCCATCAACAGCACTTGAGCATCAGATCACCTTGTGCAGCCACATCTCAGTTACTCAAAAGAAACAGGTTTTAGATGTTTTTATGATATTTTTTGTTGCTTTCTGAGCTAAGCTTCTCTAATTTTTACTCTGGCGGGGCCCCACCTACAATTTTCAGGTGTATATTTCCTGTTTGCACTGTATTTTGAAAACCTTATATCTTGCATAAAAATTGCAAACTCAAAGCTTCTTATCATTATCATCATTGTTATTACCTCGTTACACCCTGTGTGAGAGTTGACAGAAGCTTGTAGGACATCAAAGAGGCTAGCAGACAGGCTGTCTCTGGCTGTTGCCCCCACTGTTGACACTGTTGCCAAGGCACAAAATGGCACTGACATAATGACACTGTCAACACACTAGCATTGTGTTTTTGTGTGCATATGAGTGAGAAATAAGACTGTGATCATGTAACTCACAGGGACAGATGAGGCCAATTGAAGTCCAAATACTTAATTGTCTCTTTGTGAGACCAGGGTGTGTTTGTCATACATTTGTCCACGCTCTAAAACAAACTACAAATATAGATATAATTCTTGCCCTTCCCAGTTCCATAGCAAAAGAGCTTCAGTCTAAATTGATTGTAATAATGTTAGTGACACAATACTGTGACCTTCTTCTGTGTCCGTTTTTACTGAGACTGATGTATTTGTTTCACTCTTCACTTTTCTGTCCCTCACTTTTCTCTGTCTGTCTCTTTCTCATAGCGTCTGTTAAAGAGCATCACTCCAGAGCCTAGCGGTGACGTCCACAGAGCCTTCATTGTCACCAACGCAGTTTGACCATACGCTGACCAAAAGAAGGTGCCTCTGTAGCTAGATAGAGCTCCTTCCTCTGGACAAACTGTAAAACTACAGGACAAGGGGGCTACCTTTCACCGTCTTTGCCTCTTCTAATAAACCCTCTGCACTTGTTCATCTTTCTCACACCAATATCTGAAACTTAAAGGGGAATTTTGGGTTGATCCAGACTGCAGCAGCTTTGTTTAGCTTGGTTTAGTTTATTTCCTAATGCTGGCTAAGTTTTCTTATGTTGCTTGGAGACCCAGAGCTCAATTTCAGTATCTTCACTATCCTCTTATTTTTACACTCAAAAGTGTCACCAAAGTCATTTAGTCACAAAACTTCTCTTCAGGTTATACAGTCATGAGAAATATTTTATACAATTACACAAAACATAATACAATTTATGTTAATATAGAGAATATGCCATGCACTCAAGCTGCAGATACTACACAATGAAAACAGTTGGAGCAGGCCAGATAGATAGATTCTCATGTTATGGTGTTAAGCTATGTATTTTAATATGTAGCAAGATGCAGGTATCTTTTGTTACTGAAGCCAAATATCTGCGTTGTTCTTTTCATTTTTCAATATTGTAGTTATGTTGTGTTGACAGTCAGCCTGTGCTTATTTGGACGAACAATGGATTCGCAATGAGTTTTCTACACTGTCTGGCAGTGACGTGTGTGTGTGTGTGTGTCTGTGTGTGTGTGTGTGTCTGTGTGTGTGTGTGTGTTTGTGCGTTGTGGGGATCAAAACCTGTTTACACACTCACACTGTGGGCACCATTCAATAACTGCAATATAAGAGGTGTATTTATTTTATAAAGTACCACTGCTGTCACCAATCTTGCCCAGTGTCAGGTGAGATTGTCTCCAGTCCTTCTACAGGATAAGAGGTAGAGGTCACGGACGGATGGATGCTGTCACTGACTTTGTTCACAATCCAGCCATTTACCTGACATAGTGTTCATGGTCCTTGTTTTACAGTAATCTCAGAAAGATTCTGCGCTCCATTACTGTCAGTAATATAAACCAAATATGGATCAGAGCTAATAACATTATCAGTGTCATTGTCTGAAAATCACTGCTCTTTACTTTTTACCAAAAATTTGTGTGCATGCACATGTGCCTGTGTGTGTGTGTGTGTGAGTGGAGTGTGTGTATTTGTGTGTATGTAGGAGCAGGAGTTAAAATATGGCGAGTACTGTACATCTACATGTGTATTTACAGTCAGTGTCAGTCTGGTATTGGTGTAATCTACATGTACCCTGTGACTACCTGTCTCCTCCCTCCATGGATGTGTGTGTGTTTAATACTTGTGTGGGGTTGAGTGTTTGTATATTTGTGTGTGAGTGTGTGTGTGTGCGCGCACACTGTGGTTAGTATGTTGGCGCGTGTATGAGTGGGTGTGCAAAAAGGATTAGAGGTGTTAAGCCCCTTTATGTGCGCATACCGTGATGTGTGTGATTACTGTACTTCAAATGTGCGTGCATGTGTGTTTGTAATGTGATCTTCTGTTGTCTTGTTAACTCCCAAAATATGATGAAGGAAGTAATCTCCCTCTTGCCTCTTTCTTCTCTCATACCTCTCAAGCTTATGTATGATCTATGTACGTCAGTAAAAGACTGTATTGAGAAATACACTTGTATAAAATAAATATATAAATATATGGAAAGTAACAATAATAAAGATATATGGACAAAATAACCTCTGTCACCTGATAGTTGATTCTCTGTTTGCTTGCTTACTTTTTAGAAACTATTACAAACTGTTGGATGATCTGCACCAAAGTAAGCATAAGAAGTTCATAGTAGAAAAAGGCTGCATTAATAAAGTCTTTAACTTCAACACTACCAGATTAAAACTATTTAAACAGTATGGAAATAACAATGTGGCACCAAGATCAGTAGCTTCATATCCACATTGCTATGGCAGTGGGCACCGTGGAGCTGCTTGTGCTCTGTGTGTCACTATTTGCTGTAGAGGGTAACGACACTATTAACCGTCCTCAGTGAGTGTATAAACAGATGCAAGCACAGATGTGGCATATGGCTGAAGTGAAACAGGACCCACATGATGGATACAATGTTTTATCTGTGATAAAAAAATGTGAAGACAATTACAGCATACTCATGTATTTATTTAAAAGAGCGGTCAATCTGATTTCAAAGTAGACTGACGCAGCAGTGAGAAGTAATGCCCATCTCGATCATCCACTGTATCAGGATCTCTTTTATAACTGACCATACCTGACATTCAGGACAATCATTGTTTTTCTGTCAACCTGAGTGCGTCTGTGTGTACATATGTGCGCAACATGAAGAAACCTTGTCATCGCTGATTAATCATACAGCTGAAATCTCCAATCAGCAGCCTCAGCAAACTGTCTTGTGTTCACATGTAGACACGGACACTGTAGAACAAGACAAAGGAAAGAGCGTGAGCATTTGATTTCAGTTGTTGACAGGCTGATCCTCATCTCACCCCATCTGAGCAGTACCCAGTGTACAACAGATGTGTAGGTGTAGATTATGTACTGCAGGTAGTGAGTACATAGCAACAAAAGCTCTAGAGAACGGTGTATACTTATGCTACCTTTCCACACATCAGTAGTCCTATCTCCCAGGTTTAAATGATACTGAAATTTGACATTTTTCAGTTCCACCCACCCTGAATGTGCACATATAGTTTGTGCACCCAGACTCTGAATTGTGTGTCAGGGGCTTCTCCTATATGTATATGTGTGTGCACATTATTGGGGCAATTTCCTCTGAGTTCCTTCCTCCTGACTGATGGACACATCCTGTGTTCTCTGTTTTGCCTTATCACTGCTGATCTATATTAAACCCCAAAGCAGAGCCGATGTATCCCTCCACCTCTGCTGTACCTGTCATCTCAGCATCTGCCTAGCTGCCTGTCTGCCAGCTTCTCTCACTATCAGGAGTCTATCTAGACCTCCAACTCATTTCATTTTTTTCCCAGCCTTAATATCTTCTTTCTTTCTCTCTTTCTTAATTTGGGCAAGCCAAGATGGGCTCTGTGTTTGTGTGTGCATATACTACTCTCTTTCTCAAATATCGCTGCCGTTGCTGTCATTTTGAGAAACTCTTCATAAGGTCTCATTTGCACTATCATAACCCACGTACTCCTTGACAGCAGTTCACTTTGACTCTCCACTTTCCCGAGAGCAGCAGAGTTTGACATCTTTGAACTCTCTTTCCGTCTGTCTCCCCTCAGTTCTCAATATGAACATTTTTGACAGCAATCCAGAGGGTCACTTATTTTTGTGACAGAAAAATCCTGGCATTTATCTCTCTACAGCGCTCTGTCTGTCCTTTCCTTGTCTCTCCATTTTTTCCTTTACCCAGCCTCTCAGCTGATCCATCAATACCTCCGCTGCCTCTGAAGAACAGGAAATTAAACTCTTTTTTTTTCCTTCACTGTGTGGCTCCCACCCTTTATCACACAGAAACCTTGATTCCCTGCAATAGCTGTCTCTCGCTCCCCTAATGAACTCATTTTCCAGGGAGAATACCATCTTATCTCTGCACAGTGGGCCCTCTTCTCTCTCTCTGACAGTCTCCCTCTCTCTCTGTTTTCTCCATTGCTGCCTTCTTAGTTCATATAATTGTTGCCAAGATACACTGAGATGTCCTTGATCTGTTGTCTTCTCATTATAGGTGAGGTGATGAGGAGAGAGATGTAACCTTTCACAGTTACTCTGAAATATACTTGTTCTATTAATCATGTATTATATAAGTGTGGGTACAATTTAAGTATTTATGTTAATGATGGCCATGCATGAAAGTGGGTATATTTTATTTCTGCTGAGTCTGTGTTACAGCCCTCATCATATGTTCATATACTAATGGGCAACAAATTAAGGCCTCAGATGCTCTTCTTCCACCTCCTGGCTGCACTGCTGTGAAATGAGCTGCAAAGAGTAATTATAATAAAATTGTGAATGACACTTAATAGATACATTCATGGAAAAGTTTTATTTTTTGGTATGCTGGGTCATTTATCAGCCTTAAGATGTTTCCCTTTTCCTGCTTTGGTTAAATATATTCATAATATAGTCATTCATTCATTCATTAATAGGGCCATGGTTGAATGAATCAGGATTGACAGGCCAGTTTAAAAATGAGAGCTAACTCCAAGGTGATGCTCTATTTACTTGCATATCAACGGTTCAACAGCTGAATTTAATTCATCAGCTTTAATGAAATGGCAGTTTAATTAATGCATTTGGACACTTGAAGGCAGTAAAAAAACCTGCACAGTACAATATTATTACAGTATATAATGAATATAATGCCACATTTCACAGACAAAAGCAACATTCATTTAGTATTGTCTTTCAGCCCTGGAAATGGCCTTTTTATCTTTAGTTTAGTGATAAATACTGAGCAAGGTGCTAAGCAGATAATCATTTTATCTGAGAATTTTAGAAGCTGAGATTGACAGTAAAGTAACAGCAGTAAACCTGAAACATGAGCTAAAAGTAAGGAACTGTAGATTCAGATAATAATTCTCTTGGGGGGGGTTGTCACTACATATAGTCATTTGATCCACTGTCTATTTGTGGACATTGGAGTAAAGTACCTGCTAGCAACTGGTTTACTGCAAAATGATATCTGTCAAAACTGATTTTCCTATTGTAGTGAAACAAACAGCCACAATGTCCACAGTTGCGTAGAAGATATAACTTCATATAAGGTTTTAAAAATAGTCATGTAGCGTATATGTTGCCTTAAACCACACACATTAGACTCAAAACCCAGGCCCTGTTAAGCTCCTTTGCAGACTATGACATTCCAGGCACTAGAGTCAAACCATATCGCTATCAGAACACCTGCCTACTTGCTATTTTAAAATAAATAAATGTAGCACTACTCCCCCCTGCTTTTTTTTTTGGTAAGAATACCCCAGAAATCTCTAGGCAAGAAGCAAGTAGTCCTAACATAAATGCAGAGCCAGGAAAAAATAAAACACAAACTAATAAGCCGAATCAAACTAAAAACATTTTAACATGTCATTTGTTGTAATTTTGTTGTCTCATTCTTACAATTGCCTTCTGAAAGCATCTTCAATCAAGAGCCCAGTCCCAAGAATGATCTGATTTTTAATGGGGTCATATCCCCCCCTGTTGGTTTTAAGGGGTAAAATGTCATTTGAGTCAGAATAGCTTGTTTTCACAAGAGGGGAAGGTGGCAAAAGAGATCAAAATGTGATTTGTCTATTGTCTTTTCTCTTTATACAACCACAACACAATCTCTCTCTCTCTCTCTCTCTCTCTCTCTCACACACACACACACACACACACACACAGCCTGTGATTGCATCTCTTGTGGGGAGCAGAGCTTTAATTACAAAGAGGATTTTCTTTAGTCCTATTGTCTCTGTGTGACACTAAGTCACTGAAGTAGACTCATCTTCTACTGTAATCCTAATCTTGTTTTCTCCTGCGTGTTTGCTTTCACACCGTCTCAGTTCAGAGGTTCAGCTGTTTTCTCTCTTCTTCTTTTGCCCTCCCTATGATTCCCCTTCAGTGGTTCTACTAAAATATTATTTACATACATACAAATACACAGTTGCATCCACTTTTAGAAGGTCCTAATAATGCCCCTACAATTTAAAACAGAGGTAAATTCATATGCACAGCTGCTCACTCACACACACCCATACAATCTATGAGGTCTAATGGGATACACCCAGACTTGTAAGGATGTATATGAAGGGGGAGGATGTGGGAAGAAAAAGTCATCAATCATCCTGTCACTCCTTTATTTGCAATTTTTCTATCATGTGCTGTCTATTTTTATCTCTGTACTTTGCTTTTTTCAGTTTCTTACCACTCCATCTTCCACCACCTTTCTTTTTTATGTTCTTCAAATGCAATGTAATCACTCTCTTTTCTCTCTACAGTACCTAAGTACCTCCTAATCAGTTTCTGTTCTATTTTGCCTCATTTTGTCTCTCTTTTTTCTCATGTGCTTTTAACACTAAGGCTTATTAAATGATCGCTAAAAAGAAAAAACTGAGAAAACGATGGAGGAGGGGAGGGAAGTGACCCAGATAATGCAATGAAATGAATCACAATGAGCCTCCTGACCTTATGTAGACCTCAGCTTCACACCCAACACTCCTGAAAATCTACTCAGCGTAAAAGCTAAAAAAAAAAAAAAGGATTCTGTGATAATGACAAGTCAAGGGATTTACGTCTACTGTGTTTTTGATATAACACTTGAATTCAAAAATTTCAAGGCTACTTGAGATATGTGTTGTGTATCTGCTCTCATCTTTCACCTCCTTTTCTGTTCCCTTACTTATTGCTATTATCCTCCATATGCAACTCCTTCAGTAATCACCCCACCCACCCATCTCATTCCCTAGGAGAGGTGGGCAACTGAATGAAAGCAGCAAGATGTGTGGTCAAGCCTTCTCCTGCATTAAATCAGTGTAAAAACAGGACCACATTCATACATTAATGCTATAGCCTGCCGTATGTCACCTAACACCAAAGTACACACTCACTGTAGATGCAGTTTAGTACCTACTGTATTATTTTAGAATCTTTAGCAGATTTTCAGTTTAACTAATAGATAGGTAGTGGCCTTTGAATAAATGGGAGTTTTAAGTGTTCATCAAGCAGACAGCAAACCCCTTTGACAGCTGGTTG